AGCAAAGTTAGATGAAAAAACTAATGGTAAGCTACAAACATTTTTTATTACAGTTGACCCTGAACGCGACAACGTTAAAAGATTGAAAGAGTTTCAGCAACAATTTGATCATAGAATACAGATGTTAACCGGTGAAAAAGAGAAAATAAATGAAGTAGTTTCAAAATATAGAGTTTATGTCAATAAAGTAGGTGGAGAAGAAGAAATCAACCATTCCTCAATAATATATCTCATTGATCCTCATGGAAAATATGTCACACACTTTGCACTTGATCTGAATTCAGACGAAAATCAGTCTGATAAAATTTTAGTTGGGATAAAAAAGCACATAGCTATAGGCTAAATTTACGATTTTTTAAAGAAAAATCAATAATAATATTCCATAGAAATGAACAAGGAGATTATGTGAACCCAGTGACTACTAATTGCATATTATTTGTTACAATTACCTATGTATTAACATGCATTATCGCTTGGAGCTTACCTCCATTATGTACAATATTACTCGCAACATTGATTCCAGCTACAATTGCAATATTACTAACAGTTTATAATAAGCAAAGTGTCAAAGATCTTTTTAAACTTAGCTCACTAAAAAACTGTTCACTAGGCTCTGTGAACCAAAATTTGGAGAAATAAGAAAAAAGTGGTAGTTTAACCGTGAATAAATAAGGAGAAACTACCAAATGAAATATTACATACAAGAAACAAAATGGAAACAAATTTTTGCAAATTTGAAAAGCGTAAAAGGAATACACAGTAAAAACGAAGATCGGATAAGAAGGTTCATGGAATCAGTGTGGTACATGGCTCGAAGTGGTTGCCAATGGCGACTTTTACCAGAAATATATGGCAATTACAGAAGCGTACATAAGAGATTCAAAAAGTGGTGTGAAAAGGGAATTTGGGAAAAGCTGCTCAAATATACACAAGATCCAGATTTGGAAGTGCAAATGATAGATGGAACAATCGTTAGAGCACATGCTTGTGCGGCTGGATACAAGAAGGATACCGGAGCTCAAGAAGCACTGGGACGCAGCAAAGGTGGCTTTACAACAAAGATACATGCTCTTGTTGATGCTCTGGGAAATCCGCTTAAATTTACTTTAACTGCTGGTCAAAGGAACGATATTACACAGGCTGAAGCATTAACTGAGAATGTCTCAAATTCAGTTGTGGTGGCCGATAAGGGCTATGATAGTAATGCTTTTATTGTGGGTCTTGAGAATAAAGGGTGTGAGGTTGTTATTCCTCCGAAGCGTAACCGAAAAGTGCAGAGGTATTATGATGAGCATATTTATAAAGAACGTCATTTGATTGAATGCTTTTTCGGCAAAATAAAACATTTTAGGCGGATTTTTTCAAGATTTGATAAGACTGCCACGGTTTATTTAGGCTTTTTAAACTTCGTTGGGGCCCTCATATGGCTTGCTTAAAATTTTGGTTCACAGAGCCTAGGGCTTATGATTGCCCTGGTAGCTACGGTTATATATATTCTGCTATTTGTANACAATATTACTCGCAACATTGATTCCAGCTACAATTGCAATATTACTAACAGTTTATAATAAGCAAAGTGTCAAAGATCTTTTTAAACTTAGCTCACTAAAAAACTGTTCACTAGGGCTTATGATTGCCCTGGTAGCTACGGTTATATATATTCTGCTATTTGTATTAACTGTAAAATTCACACAGGTAACAGAACCTGCACTTACACCAGAGGAGATGTCAGACTTTAATGTAAATACACCATCTTTTCTGTTGGAAAATTTCATAATACTGATTATCACTTCTCTTGGCAAAGAGATAGGTTGGCGTGGCTATTTGCTCACAAATCTTAAAGATCAGATACCAAATTTTTATGTGAGAGCAATTGCTGTAGGTCTTATTGTGGCAATATGGCACATGCCAATATTTCAAGTTACGGGTCCATTATCCTGGAATGATGGACTTACATTCTCGATTGCTTGCACCTTTACACTCTTCTGTTGTGTAGAGTCTATAGTATACACTTGGTTATTTGAAAAAGATAATTCGATTTGGCCTGTGACTATCGCTCATGTAACAATGCATTTTATGATTCAGATGATTGCAATGTCCTTTACTATAATGTCTCTTTCTGCATCAACTGTCATAACACCGATGAACGACGCGATATCACTCACTATCGCTTATTTAATCGTTGCAATTGGTATCATTTTGTTTGAAAACACTCAAGGGCGCAGTTTAAGTGTATGATTGGTTGTGATTTCAACGGGCAATTTGCATGTGTTGATGGCATCTATAGCATCACATGCTAGAATAAGCGTTTAATACAAAAATTGTAAGTTTTAAGTTGTAAAAGTATTTTTTATTTCCTAATTCTGAGAGTAATTGATATTATAAGCTGAGAATTATCACAGGCAAAAGCTGTGATAAGGTTGTAAATTTGTTTAACAGCGTTAGTGTGGTGTTGAAATGGAGTATAATTCTGAAAAGAAGCCCTTGT